ATATAATTTGTGTTTTATCTCACCTCAAGTTTTTCTATTAACTGATCCGATGAAGAGATTGAAGACAAGAAATTGATTAATAAAAATATATGCAATGTTTACTAGATAGAAAATTTATGATAAACGTTTACTGTATATCAATTTATTTATTCTATATTTAGTAATATTTTAGTTACATTGTAGACATAAAACAAACACACATTATAAGTTATACCGACAACAATATTATCTATTTGTGTCAAAACCTCTTTAGTTTTAGAGTAAAGTTTAGTTTCGTAACTAAATATTATTATAATATAAAGAAAAATAATAAAATTTGACAATTTTTTAATATCGATAAATTAGACGTGTTTTAAATTGATATTGGTGATAATAATTGTTTAATAATAACTGATCGAGATGTCTAAGCTGTTCAAGATGCACAAGGAGTGTAAGCAAGCAAAGGCTAATGCAAAGGCTAAGGCAGCAAATGAGGGTAATTTAGCACAGGATTTACATACTGAGCAAGGTAGTATAGTTTTGATAATATATACTAACTAGATCTTGATATTTGCATATTAATTCTACTATTAATTCTATTATTTATTTATTGTATTAAATTATATCAATAAAATAAATTATCACCATATCAACAAATTTTAATAATTTTACATGCCATTTAATTAATTGGTACATTGTCATGATTAATTACACTGTCATACAATATAATTATTTTAAAAATAATTTATGATTTATAATAATACATAATTAGCATTAATTTTTAAAGTTTTAATTAAAAATAATATTACAATTAATTACATTATAATTAATTATGACCAGAAATGTCTACTGAAAGTCAAGACCTGGAGTTTGCCAACAAAGTGGTGCTAATCACGGGCTCGAGCAGCGGATTGGGCGCCCAAATGGCCAAAGAGTACGCCCGTCGGGGCGCACAAGTGGTGATCACCGGCCGCAACACCGAACGGGTGTGCGAAGTGGCCGAAGCTTGCGATGGTCTGTCGCCCAACGGTCTGATCGCACTTCAAGTGGTCGGTGACGTGACCAACGACGAGGACGTGCGTCGATTGGTCGGCGTTACGGTCGACAACTACGGCCAGATCGATGTGCTCGTCAACAATGCCGGCGCCGGCAGTTTCGCTACACTCGACAGTCCCGGTCTATTGGACCAGTTGGAGCACATGTTTAAACTAGATGTGCGATCGGTCGTGTTGTTGACCCAGTTGGCTTTGCCACATCTGGAAAAGACCAAGGGCGCTATTGTTAATGTGTCTTCCGTGTGCGGTCTTAAATCGGTTAGTAATTAATTATTCACAACCAGGTACTTTATTTATTATTTATTTAATTATTACGACCCTCGTTTAAATAGTACGCCGGCTGTTCGGCCTACTGTATGGCAAAAACCTCGATCGATATGTTCACAAAGTGCATCTCGTTGGAGTTGGGCCCCAAAGGTATCCGGGTGAACGCTGTCAAGTAAATCAATTTATTAAACACATAATATAAGATGAAAATGAACACGTTAAATTAATTTCTGTTTAAATAAATTAATTTAGTCCGACAGCCGTTAGGACCGGCTTTCAGAACAACTCGGGCGCCGGCGATGTGTTCAACGGAATGGTGAATCACTTGGAAAGTACGGTACCGTTGGGTAAACTGCCCGAACCCTCAGACGTGGCCAACGCTGTGCTATTCCTGTCCTCTCCCCGGAGCGCCTTTATTACCGGCCATTCACTGCCTGTCGATTGTGGCAGCCTTAATGCATAAATGTACCATGCACATTCTCACGCCTTCTTATACTGATTTAACGATACCCACTTGGTAATCGTCAAAAACTTTAATCTTGGTGACTTATTATTTAATTAACTATGGTGTATTTGAACATATTTGAATTTATATTGATTGTCTAAATTATATTGCATTGATTAAACTTTATAAAGTTATAATATAAACTGTAATAAAAATACTAGAAAATATTTGATGTATATTTATTACATTGGTTAATTAATTTTGGTCTCTAACACTATCTCTTTTTTTAATATTTATTTTCTATTTTAATAAAATTACGATCTTTATTTTATGTTTTTAAAATTTTTATTAATAAAATTTATTATTAGATATTTAATTTAATACACTCAGCAAATTACTTTGTAAAATACACACTCAATAAACTTGTCAAAAATTAAGGTATTTTTAAAATTATTAACGTTAGGACCAACGAAAGGAATAGTCTAAAAAGAATTTTATGGTCACCCTACTAATGTAACATATTTTTATTAACAGAAATACTTGTAATAATATGTAAACAATTACAATAAAAATGAATCAAAAATATTTTAACATTCATAAATCAAGCACATTGTAAAACAATCAATTTGTTACTTTTTATTAACATGATCCTCATGATTATGTTTAATATACGGTTGCAATAGTGTGTCCAAAAACTCTTGCTCACTCTGATTCAGATCATCTACAGCTCGTACAAAATCGCAGCCGCCAATCCACAGTTTATCATCCTGGTAATCGCCACTCAAAATATACTCAGCCCCAGTTTTCAGATAACTGACCCCGCACGAATGGTCCGGCGAGTATATCTGACCAGCTTTCAGTGCCGCCCAAAGACCCTGATCATTGGTGGCCCGTCTGTACACGTGCTGTAGTTTTGTTGAATAGTGGTAGAGATGGTGCTGATCGCCACCCGCGCCGTACGGTTGCATTGTTATGCCCGTGCTTTTGACTACAGCTCTGACCATGTATTTGGCGGTGTTGTATGAGTTTTGAATGGTTGGCACCGGTGAGCACTTACACCCAAAACACCCGTATATTATACTCACAAACGTAAGGATAGTCAGTAAATTCATTGTGATATTTTTGATTAACAATTTTATTTTATTTTACTTTATGTAATGTATAGTTTAATCTTAATAGTAATTTGTGTGAAAATCAACCTTGCACTTTATTTATATACTATTTAAGGCATGTAAATTATCCGTAAACAAAATGTTAGGTGTGTTGAAACATGATTATGTCATTTACACGTGATTTATTTATACTAATTATAAATGGCATCTGAAAACAATTACTGTATGTACAGTAATTTGTTATTGACATTGAATTACAAGTTTAATAATTACGAGTATAAAGAGTAACTATAATTATTTTGAATTTGCTCTCTCTCTCTCTCTCTAAACAGGAATATACAGTTAAGTACTTGGAAACAATATTTAGTACTTATAATATTGGAAATGAATATGCTAGTGAACGATACTATAATAAAT